AAAAACTAAATCGTTTTAAAATAATTGTAGGGTGTACCCAACAGTACTAGAAAATCATAATTAGTTTACCAACAAATGATATAAATTATTGGCACTCTGTTGTTAGATAGATTTTGACCCCCACCCCTAATAGAGTGGATTGCTAGAAAGTCTTATGCCTGTACACAAAGCTATGGCTTTGCTATCTGCTGGAACTGATTTGCACCGGTCCCTAATGAAACATTGTTACTAATTTCTGTTAACAGAATTGCCTTTGCAACAGTATATTAAAGTAACGAGGATCAGTTTGTCAGTTCTCCGCCTATGATTATAGCTTGGTTAAACAGTATAGCTGCTTGTATAATTGTATATTCAATGTGGGAAGTAAAACAGCATCTAAAGAAGGTGCAATCAACACCTTAATAACCTAGTTTAACCTCTAGGACAATATATATTAACGGATAGCTATACAACCTATCCCCTCAATCCCACGATAGAAGATTAATGCGGCAAAGCTAATTTTCGAGTGGTTGATTTTCTCCAATTATATTTATAAATCTAAAACGGCTCTGCATCAATATACTGTCTAAGGGTTACTCGGTCTATATTTCATACCCCTCCGGTTCCCAGAGATTGTAAATAGATACTTTCTATGGTTGGAAAGATCGTCCTCTCTACAAAACAAGCTACTAGGCATAAAAATTCTCTCTAAGATATGTTATCTAAGTGAGCGCCACCCTACATCTCCCTGACGCGCGTTTCGCTTATCAGCTCATCAGAAGGAAACCTGTATGTATATGTGTTCCATACATAGCAGGGTTATATAACCCCCACGCCCCCCATGCCTGACGACCAACATGACACACACTCATAGTTATATTTGGTGCACTACCCAGCTACAGTTGTAAATCTTTTAGGGCTTCTGTTTGTTTAATTCATTTCCTTTCTTTTCTCAATCTTTTGATTTAAGTTTCATGGTCACATAGTCCTTAATAAATTGGGGCATAGTATGGTATATTAATCTGGAATTAAGGAAGATCCACAAAAGTCCTTTGCAAAGTACAATATTTTTTAAATAAGATTAACTGTCTCTTTGAACCATGCCAACTGCACATAAAACTATTATTTTTGTTAGATTATTTGAACATCAACTGGAAATGCAGCCAGGTATTTTAATCACAATATTTGGCTTAATTAGTTGTATTCACCTTTCCATACATGAAAAATACAATTTAATGTAAAATAAAACCATCCTAAATTTGACAAAGATGTAACGCTTAACAGTTGTCTAACCCATGTTTGTATTTTGTTGTCATTGTATGCAATAAAATATTTAAGTTTAACATTCGTTTTAAGCAGGATGTTCTTTATTTATAATTTGAGAATCCTTTTTCAAAGGTACACTTCAAACACCATAACCAACACAGGTATCTCAGGAAAAAATCCAAGGTTACGAAGGACTTTCGAGATGTAAAAATATTAATAATTAAACTATTTTAAAGCCCCCGTGCAACACTAGATCATCAGAATTAGGGCCATTTACAGAACTTTCCATAACCTTGGATGGGGGTTATACTAGCTGTATCTTAGCCGTAAGCAAATATATCCAAAAAGTATCTGACACATCAACTTAAAAAAGAAAAGAACCAACTAGTGGAAAAGATAATAAAGAAACAGTCTCTGAGTCAACAGGCATTCCAAGTGCAGGATTAGTCCTGAAACAACCAAACAGCTAACATGGGCATATTAGGTGGTTTCCTCTTCATCCAGGAATGGTATCTCCTCCAAAAACAAATTAAATGTTAGCTATGTCCCAGTTATGTGTAAATCCCTACCTTACAGCTGTTGCCACAATGGAAAATAATCCAAGGACCTGCAGGGATGAACCAGTATCTGGAAGCAGATATAAGGGTTTGCACATGAGCATCCCTCTCCACTACATGAGAACAAGGGGATCTCTAGTGATAACAACTGCAGAATCCTAAAGTTGTTGGATAACTTGACTCAAAGAGTGCCTTAGTTGACAAGCAGATCAGAAAAGATCAGAAAAACATGTGAGTTGGTAGGATTCATATGTAAGGGTTGGTTTACCACACACTGCATTCATAAATATAGCCTTGTCTACAACAGATGTACAGGGCCCGGACTGGCCCACCGGGATACCGGGAAATTTCCTGGTGGGCCGCGGTACCAGGGGGCTGTGCAGTGCACTAAATCAGTTTTATGAACATCGCGGCCGCACACACTGAGAGGCCGGCCGAGTTCGATATTTACCTTGCGGCCAGCCATGTAGTGTATGGTGGCCGCCTAGCCGGTCCAGCGGCAAGCTTACTTATACGGACAGCAATGCAGCTGTCAGTATTGGAGGACTGAAGGAGGGGGCAGACCTGACAGTCATGCTTCCTCGCGGTTCCCACAATTCCCAGCATGGACACATTATAGAGTAGTGATTACTCTATGATGTGTCCATGCTGGGAATTGTGGGAACCACGAGAGAGCATGATAGAAACCAAGCTGCAACCTTTAAACCGGCCGCACAGGGTGGAAAACACCCCTCGAAGCCTGGATTCTGTCAATGCTGCAAAGAAGTGAGGGGAACTTTTCTGTGTGCCTGTGCCTGTAGCTGTTATAGGAGATTTGGGGTTGACTGAATGACTTTCACTGCTACTACTCCAAAGAAAAAACCCACACTCAATATAAAAACGTTACTGGTTTGTACAAAACGTTATTTCAGCTACTGTTTCAGCTACAGTGGGGTTAATTCACTAAACTGGGAATCATACAAAATGTTGCGTTATTCTGATTTTTGTCAGTGTTCCAGCCAATCGCCATGTGATACAAGGAGAGAGCACTGATAGGTTGAGTTGATACCATAGAAGCAGCATAACATTTAGAAGTGGCTTTTTTTTTTATTATTGTTTTTTTTTCCATGTTAATTTCTTAAAAATGTATTTAAAGCTATTAAGGGAAAATTGAATTGTCAGAATTTCTTTTTCTCATTTTAAACATGCTAGAGCAACAAGTGTATGTTTTAACTAGTTACTAGAAGGGGAAAAATAGAGGGAGAAAAATATTCAGAGGGGGAGGGAGACAGAGGGAGAAGAGAGACGGAGGGGGAGACAGGGACAGAGGGAGAAGAGAGATGGAGGGGGAGACCGAGACAGAGGGAGAAGATAGAGATGCTGGGGGAGAAAGAGAGACAGAGAGGGGCTGGGGGGAGACAAAGAGACAGAAGGTTTGGGGGGACAAAGAGACTCAAAAGTTTTGTTGGGGCAAAGTGACATACAGAAGGTTTGTAGTGGCAAAGCTGTGCTGGGGGAGAAAGAGGCACACAGAGAGACTGGGGGAGACAAAAAGACACACGGAAGGTTTGTTAGGGGGGACACACAAAAGGGGCTGGGGCGAAAGAGACATACACAGGGCTGGAGAAGGGTAAAAAGAGACACACGAGCTGGGATGAAGTAAAAGGTACACAAGGGGAGTTGAAAGAGACACACAAAGGGGGCTGGAAGAGACACAAAGGAGAACAATTGGAGACAAGATACACTAAATGAGGTTAAAAAAAAATCAAAAGAGGGAATAAGAATCACAGAGAATGGTGAGAAATTCAAAAGGGAGTTAAGAGAAATGCAAGAGAAGATGCATTGTTTTGTGTGTGCATTTTCGCCTGTGTCTCCTGCTCTCCCTGTAACTTGGTTCTTCAGCATTGGAGTTTATGCCGAAAATCTAATTGACAGGTGAGAGAAAAACCTCTTATTAAATAGATTTTCCTTCCAATTTATACATTTTGCTAGCAATCTTGCTACCACAATGTACAGATAGACGTAATTTATGTGATTCGGCCAGTAATACACACATTACACACACACACATGTATATTAATGTGTGTATTAGTAATATATATATAATGATGCCTATAATATTTAGACATATATTAATATAAATTTATGTATACATAATACCCACAGAAATGTCATTAATGTATAACATATATGTAATGAGCAGATATTGGCCCAGTCTTGTTGATAGGTGCATACTCCAGCACATTAACATGTTCAAAGTGATAAGCACACTCATAGGACTTCAAAATAAACAGGATAACTTTATTTCGTTACAGCTGTGCAATCGCACACATTCACCATTTCAGTCCCATTACCAAACTTTCCCTAATATGTCAAGGCAGTTGGACTGAAACTTTGATTATATGCAAATGAACATCTCCTTAAAATAAAGTCACTCTGTTTATTGTGAAGCGCTATGAGTGCTTTCTTTCTATGGAGTAATCGTTTTCAATTTTCAGTTGTCTTTTCCACCTCTATGTCAGCACACTATGCTGGCGCAACGTATTATTGGGCTGGTATATAATTTTTTCCATGGCTGTTTTTAGTTCCCAGTCCAGCCCTGCAGATGTAGGATAAGGGTCCCAGTGGCAGACTTTGGAGCTCTCCAGGATTAAGTAGGGGGAAAAAAAAGAGTCCAGCACAGTCCTAATCTCAATAAAGTAATCCATCATTAATGGTGTCAAATAAATTGTTCATGTTTCACCCACGCATAGCTCTTATGAAATCTAACATATCACTGCTCAAATTGCAATTAAATAGGGGCTCATTTAGACAGTGCGGATAGAGTCCTGCGCTCAACTATAATGACTGACATCTAGAATCAGTGTAGACAAATCATGTGTTAAGTCACATGGCAAGAGTCACATGATAAAGTGCAATCACAACAAAGAGTGAACGTGCCATTTGCAAATTACATGCTATATATAAGAAGAGCAAGAAAGTTAAAGAGAAAATTAAAGAGTGCTAGCTGCAGAACAGAGCGGTCACACTTTCTCGAGCTTATGATCTTATGCCAGGACCCGACAGCAAGCTGCCACACTACTGCCTAAGGGTGCAATGGGTTAAAAATAATCCGGTTCCAAAGATCTCGATTCGAGCAGCAGCCCGTAGACACACTCCTCTGCTATTCGAAGAGTCTGCCCTATCACTGTTCCCGGACCTCACCAGAGGCACTATCGCATGGGGCAAGACCCCGCAGCCACTACTGATGATCCTACCAGCTATGGACATCTCCTACCGCTGGGGGTTCCCGAGGGCCTTGTCCTTTACCCACCAGGGCTCGACATACAAGGCTTTGCGTTTACAGGAGCTGTAACACCACCTACAATGCCTGGGCCTGCACGGAACAGTGAGGACAGCCACAACAGGTCTGGCGGGTCTGAACCCCTCCACTATACCGGAGTTCACCCCCTGAAGAAACCTGAACAACACCGGCCCAGTAGTTGGACTTTCAAAACCATGACGGGTCCATCGACTGACTCTACCACATAATGCATTTAGGTTTAAGGTGCCACAAACTGTTATTTATTTTCTTTTTAATAGTTTAAGTATGTTCTTCCACCGCATATATTTGGTTACGTTTCCTCAAGGCCCACTAATAAGGCCTATAGTGTGCCCTTAGTTACTGGGGGGCCACACCAGAGGCCACCCCTTCCTCCCCCCCCCCAAAGTCATGATGGAAAGATATCACACCTTCTCTACAAACTCAGGGCGGGCCCTAGTCACTTAGGGGCTCTGACACACATGTCCACTTATCCAGACCCATACGGTCTTACCTTATGGGGAAAAATACTGGTACCCCCTAACAAGCTACTAACATGTAATTTTCATGTCTTTTCAAACTAATTAGCACATCCCTGCGCCCCTGGTGATCTCTCTACCAGACACCACCGTAGCCCATAACTATGGCCACACTAGCCTGATTCAACTAACGCAATAAAAGTGCTGGAAATTGACTGCCATATACTTGTTCATTTTGTTTGCATTGCGCCTATATCTGCTGTTGTGGCAATACGGGCCTTCTTGTTATATGCTGCACGATAAAAATAAAGAATATAAAAAAATAATTTAAAAAAAGAGTGCAACACAGTAGATTACTACATGAAAAGTGCTTCCATACGCTACATTCAATTATGTTGAATAGACTTGCTTCATAGCATTTCTACATAAAAAGTTCTTGCAAATGCTACGTTAAATCCTGTTAAGTATATTTGCTCCATCTAAATATAAACGGAGAAATAGAAGTTATACAAATAGAAAAATACATAGTGCGTCACAGTATACCACTACATAAAAAGTTTTTAAACGACACATTCAAATATGTTGAATTAATTTGCTTCGTGAAAAGTGCTTGAAAAGTGCTAGTTCCAAAATGCTACAGCAAAACATGATGAATTCATTATGATGCTTTGCACTTTGTATTTATATTTTTCTTTTTAATTTACCAGCAGGATTAAGACCATCCATGGAGAGGCCACTGGCTTGCTAGTTAGGTAGCAGTGAAGGAAATAGGCAAGAAGCTCTCCAAAGTCAACATATGCAATATATCCTTGGTTCTACGTTCCTACTCCTGCTGGTATCATCAGGCCAGTCCATTCTTATTTTTTTTTCTTCCATGATCATTTTTAAATAATTTCAAATAAATACAATCGTATCTGGCATAGATTACATAACAGGCTTGTTGACTTAAAAAAGCATGAACTTGCACAGTCATGCAACTCTGGAACTGTCAGTGGTGACATATGCAGGTTCAGTGGAAAACCAGTCCATTCTAAAGAACATATCCAATTATAACTTGTGTAAGTCAAAAAGATGTCTCCCTTTACCAACGCAATATGTCAAGTAAGTGACATAATTAATTTTCTAAGAAATACCAGGTCTATAGCATACAAAGCTTTGATGTTCTGCATTAAGGAAACTACAGTTAGGTCCAGAAATATTTGGACATTGGCACAAGTTTTGTTATTTCAGCTTAATAAAATAAGTTACAGTTAAATAATTAATATCGGCTTAAAGTGGAGTCTCTCAGCTTTAAGTTGAGGGTATTCACATCCAAATTGAAGGAAGGTTTAGGAATTACAGCTCTAATAAGTAGCCCCCTCTATTTCAAGGGACCAAAAGTAATTGGACAATTGACTCGGAAGCTGTTTCATGGACAGGTGTGGGCTATCCCTGCATTATGTATTTATCAATTAAGCAGGTAAAAGGTCTGGAGTTGATTCCAAGTGTGGCAGTTGCATTTAGAAACTGTTGCTGTGAATTCACAACATGCGGTCAAAGGAGCTCTCAAGTGAAACAGGCGATCCTTGGGCTGCAAAATAAAAAAGAAAGAGCAAGAACATTAGGAGCAGCCAAAAAAAAAAGAACACACTGGTGAACTCTGCAACACAAACAGGTCGGAACTTTGCCAAAAAACATCTGAAAAAAATAAATAAAAAGCCAGCCCAGTTCTGGAACAGCATTATTTAGACAAATGAAACTAAGATGAACCTGTACCAGAATAATGGGAAGAAAAAAGTATGGAGATGTCTTGGAAAAGCTCATGATCCAAGGCAGACCACATAATTTATAAAACACGGTGGAAGCAGTGTGATGTTATGGGCATGCATGGCTTTCAATGGCATGGGTCACAAGTGTTTATTGATGATGTGACAGAAGACAGACGCAGCCAGATGACTTCTGAAGTGTATAGGGATATATTGTCTGCTCAGATTTTGCTGAATTCAGCGAAGTTGATTAGCCAGTGTTTCACTTTACAGATGGACAATGACCCAAAACATACTGCGAGAGCAACCCAGGACTTTTTTAAAGCAAAGAAGTGAAATATTCTGCAATGGCTGACTCAATCATCCGACCTTAACCCGATCGAGCATGCGTTTCACCTTCTCAAGACAAAACTTAAGGCAGGATTACCCACGAATAAACAACAACTGAAGACAGGCCTGGCAAAGCATCACAAAGGAGGAAACAGCGTTTGGTGATGTCCATGCATTCCATACTTTAAGCAGTCATTGCCTGCAATGGATTCTTGACAAAGTATTACAAATTTGCATTTTATTTATGATTGTGTTACATAGTTACATAGGCTAAAAAGAGACATGTGTCCATCAAGTTCAGCCATCCTCCTATTCGTTTTTTGCTGTTGATACAAAAGAAAGCAAAAAAAAACAGTTTAACGCACTAACAATTTTGCAACAAACTAGGAAAAAAATTCCCCCTTGCCCCCAGAATGGATAGATTTATCCTTGGATCAAGAAGCTATTACCCTACATTGAAAAATTATATCATTGAATATTCTGTTTTTGAAAGCATGCATCTAGTTGCTGTTTAAACATCTGTACAGACTCTGATAAAACCACTTCTTCAAGAAGAGAACTCCACATCCTTATTGTTCTTAATAATAAAAAAACAAAAACTTTCCTTTCCTTAGATTAAATCTTCTTTCTTCCAGTTTAAAAGCATGACCACGTGTCCTGTGTAAAGTCCGGTTTGTGAATAGATTTCCACACAATGGTTTTTATTGGCACCGGATATATTTGTATAATGATATCATATCCCCTCTGAGGCGAGACCTTTTTTTCTAAACTAAATAGGTTTAAATGTGTTAACCTTTCTTCATAGCTAAAATGTTCAATTCCTTTTATTAATTTTGTAGCCCGCCTCTGCACTTTTTCTATTGCCATAATATCCTTCTTTAGAAGCATATTCAAGATGTGGACCAAAAAATCTAGATAGCACTTGCACTCACTCACACATAAGGTGCAGTTATCTGGGTCACCTCTAAAGACCAGAGAATCATACAATACTAAAAAAAAACAAAGGATATCGGACCCAATTTGGAAAAAAATATAATTAAATGAAAATGTATTAACACAGCTTAATAAAATTAGATAGAGTATTAGTCTATCCCATCCAATGTTAGATATACTTTGCAATGCAATGATTTACCCACCATAATAGTAGTGCAAAAGAAAACTAAAGTGCCAAGTGCCTAATCACCATAAAAACAATACATTGTTACAAAAGTCTAAGCATTTTGGTTGTTCCATTTCAAATCCATTGTGGTGCGTATAGAGCCAAAATTATGAATATTGTCAGTGTCCAAATATTTCCAGCCCTAACTGTATATCCCTTTTAGTGGCTGGAATAGTCAAGTCCTTACAGAAGGTGCAGGTGGGTGAGCTATGGAGCATGGTAATCAGCTTGCTCCAAACGATCTTCCTCTGTGGTCCTGCAGCTCCTGTGAAATGTCAGATCCACTTGCTGGTAGCTTCCTCCCCCCAGGTCGGCCATAGCTAAACCCTACAGTGTAAGGGTTTGCTCATTGGTTGAGATGACCAGCTGACAGGACTTAGCTCAGGAATACTAATGGAAGATATTTGTAATTTAGAATATAGAGAAGCTGAGTAATATGGATTTTACAACTTACAACCTGCGTGCCAATTGTTTTAACAACTTAACTGATGCCCGCTGGCCACCAATCACCTTCTCCTTTGAGAGCTTCCATTAGCGCTCCTGAGCCATGATGGCAGCTCATTGGTTGAGAGCATCAGTTCTCTGAGCTAGGTCGGGCTAGTTCAGAGCAGAGAGCATCCTGCTATCAGTGGAGGAGATAAAAAAGAAAGAATGAAAAAAAGAAGAAAAAAAAAATTTTTTTAAGACACAATCTAGGCAGAAAATAATAGGGGTTTAGTTACATTTTATGATCATATGATCACAACGCCAATGTACCCCATCTTTGGCAGGTCCTACTCTAGCAGCCTAATGTCTGTTTTATGAGCTACTTACTTGGGGGAAAAAATCCATCTGGAGTTCTCTGCAGTACAAGGCTAAATAGGGCCCTGGGATGAGGCACCTGTGAGAGGGAGGGGTGCAAAACCAAGGAGTTGGCTAGACTCCCAAATATATATAAATATATATAAATATATATATATATATATATAATGAAAAAGTAAATGCTTGGTACTCTCCTTACATTTGAAATAAAGATATCTTGCCTGGGTGCTGTATCCACTGGCATCCAATGTATAGAAAAATAAAAAAACGGGATGCACTCACAGGTCTTCATATGGGTGAAAAATAGTGCTTTATTAATACATAAGGTGTATACAAAAATCAACCGACGTTTCGACCCTGCCGGGTCTTTTTCAAGAGGAAAAACTTGGGGGAAAAAAATCCATCTGGAGTTCTCTGCAGTACAAGACTAAATAGGGCCCTGGCATGAGGCACCTGTGACAGGGAGGGGTTCAAAACCAAGGAGTTGGCTAGACTCCCAAATATATATATATATATATATATATATACATATATATATATATATATATATAAATACCGGCACTCCAAGGGTTTCAATCAATAAATCCTCTTTATTCCATAAGTCAACGTTTCAGCTCCTTAACGGAGCTTTCATCAGGACAGTGTGTTTTATGTGTCCTGATGAAAGCTCCATTAAGGAGCTGAAACGTTAACTTATGGAATAAAGAAGATTTATT